GAGGACATCTGTAATACTTTCAACAATAAAGATAAATTTAAAAAATAAAATAAAATATCAAGAATAAAAAATTTTTTTAAATTAAAAATACTGCCTATATATACCCCAAAGGAGTAAAAGCATATGTGTACAAAACACTTGCACAAGACTGTCTGTGGAAGCTCCAATCTGAGACTGACTGCTGAAGTCAACAGGAAAACAGATAAACTAATTGTGGTCTGTTCATAAAATGGAATGCTACAGAGCAAAAAGAAGGGAGGCATAAACTAAATGACAACGTGGATGAATCTTAACACTGCACTTAGTGAAAGAAAGCAGACACAAAAAATACATACTGTGTAATTCCATTCATGCGAAGGGTAAGAATAGCAAGAACAGAAAAAACTAATCTGTGGTAACAGGAATGAGAAAGTAGTTTTTTGGGGGGTGGCAGTAGTTGATGGAAATTTGGTACGGCAGAACATTCTAGAATGATGGAAATGTTATGTATTTTATTATGGATGGTGGTATCAAATTATTAAAATTCATTAAACTGAACTCTTGGTAAATATGTTAATTATAACAAAAAAAGTAGACAATAAAAGCCATCAGCAACCATCTGCTAAATTGTGAAATACTTGTCATTACTTTTAAAAATCAGAAGATAATTACACCCATCACTATTAATACTAATGCATACAATAAGTCAATAAAAAATGAAATGGAGATACAAATAAGAAAAAGAGACAAGTTATCCTTGCAAATATGGCTATGTACTTAGAAAAGTCAAAAGAACTAACTACAGACTAGTAGACCTAATATTAAAAATATCAGATTTAACCTGGCTAGTGTGGCCCAGTGGTTGAGCATCGACCTATGATCCAGGAGAGCTGGTCAGGGCACATGCTCAGGTTGCAGGCTTGATCCCCAGAAGGGGGCGTGCAGGAGGCAGCCAATCAATGACTCATCATTGATTTTTCTGTCTCTCTCTATCTCCCTCTCCCTTCTTCTCTCTGAAATCAATAAAGACGTATTTAAATATATATATCAAATTTATACATAATTGTTTTAAAACTAGCAGTAACCAGTAACTCAAAAGAGTAACAAAATTTATATTATAATAGAAAACATACACTATATAATATAAAACAAGATACAAATAAATAGAAAGATACATTTTGTTTCTGGAGGAAAACTTAATAATGTTAATCCTCAAAATAAATGTATGCCTAATGTCATTTCCAATCAGAAGCAAATGTGTCTGGGAAAGGAAACAGGACTAAATACTTTTCCAATGTGTATATGAAAACCCACTAGGAAAGTTTGGAAAGACAAACTATGAAGTGGGACATACTCTATCGTGTATTAAAGCTTGCCACGAAACTACTGGGACTAAACAGTAAGATTTACAAAGGGATGAATGGAACAATGATAATCCTAAAAAAGAGTCGAGTTTATATGGAAACTTAATAGAAGATAAAGGTGGCATTTCAATTCAGTTGGGGGTGGGGTGGAGGAATGGTTTATCACACAGTATTTGTAAAAGTTGGGTACCTACCAGAAAGAAAATAAAATGAGCCCCTCAGCTTATAGTCCATACCAAAAATGTTCCAGAGGAATAAAGTCTAATATAACAACTAAAACTGTAAAAATACAAAAAAATCTTGGGAGTATAACTGGAGTCTGGAGAATTTTAAAGTGAAACAGGAAACCTAAAAACCAGAAAGGAAAAAAAAGGACAGATTTGGCTATGAGTCAGGAAGAACAGAAGAGGGAGCGCTGCAGGGAGGACAACAGGAAGGGACAGAAAGGGGCGGCAAAGTCAAAGTAAAGACACGGAGGGCGTTCAACGGGTGGGAAAGACAATGGGTCCTACCATCATAATGCAAGAGTAAGTTACATAAATTGATAAGAAACACAACAGAAAAAGAGGCAAATGGAATTATTCACAGAAGATGAAATACAAATGGCTGATAAACATGCACAATCTCACTAACAAATAGAAATGCATATTAACAGCAAAATAAGTCGAATTTTTAGTCATAAATAAAAAAATTAAAAAATTTTATTGAGGTGTAATAAACTGTATCTATTTATAGTTACAATTTAGTCAGTTTGACATATATGTACATACTTCATATGCACACACATGAAGTCATCACCACAATCAAAATAGTAAACATATCTATCCGAAATCCTCAAGTTCCCTTGTACTCCTAATAATAAGCATATATTACTTTTGTAATAAAGTCTACAAAGTATTTTTAATATAAAAGAGAATGAAAAGAAAAATGTAATCAATAAGAGGAAGCCAATATGCTGAAGCACTGAATTATTGTACCGTCCTTAAGAAAATGATAGTGACATTCCCTAGAGATAAAGATTCACTAGTCTTTCATTTTAAAGTTATACAGCATCAAAATTCAGCAGTCCCCAGTGCCCGGGAATCATTTCTACATGGTACTAAGGTTTGCTTTACAGAAAAATCTTCCCATTGTTTAGTTCTTAGGAAAACAAAATAATTCTCTTCCTCTCCTTCAAATTATTCGGTGCTGTATCTCTATGGATCTGCCTACC